CCTCCCCCCCCTCCATCGCGTGACAGGTGGCGGCCTTCCCACCCGTGTCTCGTCGCGGCGGCCGTGTTGTGAGTGGCACCGGCGGGAGGAGTGCCACACCAAACACGAGGGTCGCCAGAGCGGAGGGCGGGCGCGGTGCCAAGCATCACCGGGCTCCGCACACCATGCTCGCACCCGCCGACACTTCCTCTTTGCTCCGCGTGGCTCCCTGTGGCACCGCGTGGCTCCCTGCGGCATCGTGTGGCTCCCCGGCGTGAGGTTCGATGTCTGCCCCCCCCCCCCCCCCCGTGGCACGTCTTGGCTCGTCGAGGTTCATGGCGGTTCGCTCTCTCCGTTAGTCACAGAACCTCGGTTCTCACTGCTACCCGGCGCTTCTTCAAGAATATGCATTTATTTGGTTGATTCCCTAAAATCCAGTCTAATGATCAGGTAACTGAACATATCCTGCGTTTTGTGACATCATATCATACCTAAGAAAAATGCCTAAATCAAATAAATAAACAAATACATAAATAGATAACTTAAAACAAAGAACTAAGTTCCACTTCCATGAAGAAAAAAATCTACTATACATCCTTATCTCTCTGGACGAAACAGCAAACGAACTCAACCATAATTTCCGCGCAGTACTTCAGACGTTTTCTATCAATAGTTCACCTTCTCCCGCTGAGGAATCCGAGTTTTCCTCCGCTGACGATACGAGGCATGCCCGGTAACGTGCAAAGATACAGCCGGGGTTAAAGCATGCCTCACTAAGCTGGCATAGTCATTAGCTTTAGTACGTGCAATACGCGCTTTAGAACAGAGCCAATAGCTACGTCGGGGAAACGCGGGGGTGGATTTTTTTTTTTTTTTTTTTTTTTTGAGTGAATGAGTGAGTGAATGTGAATTTGAATGTGAATGTGAGTGTGAGTGAGTGTGAGTGAGTGTTAGTGTGAGTGTGCGTTTGTGTGTTTGAGAATAAAGAAAGGGAGATCGAGGGAGGGAGAGAGAGAGAGAGAGAGAGAGAGAGAGAGAGAGAGAGAGAGAGAGAGAGAGAGAGAGAGAGAGAGAGAGAGAGAGAGAGAGAGAAGAACAAGCCAAGTGAAAATGAAATCAGTGAAAGTAGGAGAGCCTGGCATCACGAGAGGGCAACTTTACCAGTGGATTCTGTGACCCGAAAAGACCAAAGAAGAAGAAAAAAAAAGTAGAAAATAACAGAAAAAAGAAAAAGGGAAAAGACGGTCATCTTAAAGGTCTCCTCAGAGTAGTCAACACTTAAATGAGATATTAAATGCAACTATTTTTCTTTCCATCCCATTAACCCGGCTATTTTTTTATGCTCTTCTCTTTATGTCCCTCTCCTCTCTCTCTCTCTCTCTCTCTCTCTCTCTCTCTCTCTCTCTCTCTCTCTCTCTCTCTCTCTCTCTCTCTCTCTCTCTCTCTCTCTCTCTAAAATTTCCTCTCTGTCCCTCTCTCCTTTCCTCTCTGTCCCTCTCTCTCTTTCTCCTTTCCTCTCTGTTTCTCTCTCTCTCCTTTCCTCTCTATCCCTCTCTCTCTTTCTCCTTTCCTCTCTGTCCCTCTCTCCTTTCCTCTCTGTGTTTCCTCCTTTTCTCTCTGTTCCTCTCTCTCACCTCACTCTCTCCATCTCCTTTCCTCTCTTTCCCTCTCTCTTTTCTTCTCTCTCTCTCCCTCCATCTCGCTATCTCTTTCTCCCTCTCTCGCCATTTCTCTCTCCCTCTCTCGCCTTCTCTCTCTCCCTTTCCCTTCCTTCCTCCCCCTCCCTTTCTTCCTCCCTCTCCCCTTCTCTTCCTCCCTCTCCCCCTTCTATTTCTCCTTCCCCCCCCTTCTCTTTCTCCCTCTCCCCCTTCTCTTTCTCCCTTTCCCCCATCTCTTTTTCCCTCTACCTCCTCTCTTTTTCCCTCTTCCCCCTTTCTTTCTCCCTCTCCCCCTCTCTTTCTCCCTCTCCCCCCTCTTTTTCTCCCTCTCCCTCCCACCCTGTCTTTCTCCCTCTCCCTCCCACCCTCTCTTTCACCCTCTCCCCCTCTTTTTCTCCATTTCTCCCTCTCCTCCTTTCTCCCTCTCCCCCTCTCTTTCTCCCTCTCCCTCCCACCCTCTGCATTCCGTCTATCTTCGGGGTTTCCCCAAGTCGATAAATTTATAGCCCAGATAATGGTTTTCTTCTTATGATTTGTCTTATCAAGTTTGTAAACTTCGCTCATCTCTTTCAATTATTTTTTTTCTCTCTCTCTCTCTTTATCTCTCCCTCTCTACCTCAACGCTCGCAGAAACGTCTCAAGTGTCCTTTATCGGATTCAATCGCTGCCGAGAAAACTTGGGCTGTGTTGTCCCTGTTGCTGAGGCGTGAGACATGGCCTTCCTCATTCCTCTCTCTCATCTCTCGCCGCGTCGCGTAAGATTCGCAAGTCTGTTATTTATCTGATGCCGTTTTTAAGCCGATTGTGGTAGATGATTGGATATTGCTATTACTAACTGGTATATAAAACACCGGTATGATTAAGTACATTTTTTTTTGGCAATCATAACGAGGATTATGATAATAATACATAATAAATAAAATATGATAATAATACATAATAAATAATAAATGATAATAATAATGATATTAAAACAATAATAATAGCAATGAGAATATAATGAAAAAGGAGAGCGATAATATTAATAAGAATATCAAAGACAAGAATAGGAACGAACAACAAAAATAAGAACGCAATTGTGAAGAAGAATGTCGATGTCAATGAGGAAGAAGAAAAAAAAAGAAGGAGAAGAAAGACTGCACAGCACTTAGAATCCTCACCGAGATTACAACAACGCCCGAAATAACAAACACAAAGACTACACACGACAAAAACACCACCACCACCACCACCAACAACAACAACAACAAAACTCGAACCAGTAAAACGTATATACGATCCAGACAATCAGGTAACACGGTGCTCTCCCTCTGTCTTTCGGAATCTCATACCTGACTATTTCTATTTACATTACTTACACACAGGGCAGCCATGCGTGCAACTCGGCAAGTTGGTACAATCTTATGTTTGTAAACACAACACAAAACACACCAGTTTCCGCGCTTGTTGTATATATTCTTTGGAGGATATGGTGATGATAATGACAGCCTATGGTTGTTGATGTGGTAGTAAGTAGTAGTAATGATTTTAATGGTATTTAGTTGTAAATTGTAAGAGTAGTCGTAACAGTTCTAGCCAGTGGCAGAGGAAGAAAATACGCAGGTGGAGCAATACAGAGAAAGAGAGAGAAAAAGAGGAGAGGAAGAGAGGAGAGAAAGAGAGAAAGAGAAAGAAAGAAAGAAAGAAAGAGAGAGAGAGAGAGAGAGAGAGAGAGAGAGAGAGAGAGAGAGAGAGAGAGAGAGAGAGAGAGAGAGAGAGAGAGAGAGAGAGAGAGAGAGAGAGAGAATTAAATAACTGCGTGAATGAGATTCTACGGACGCGGTTTAATGAATGAAAACAACAATCATTCAATGACAGCAATAGTGGCAGCAAAATTAATAGTAACAGAAATAGCTACCGTAGTAACGGTTGCAGAACCAGAGCAATTAATCAGCTACAAAAATCATTCTTGACGTGTATTTATTGTTGTCCCATTTCTTTCTCTCATTGTTCCCTCCTTCACCAAGTTCTTCGCTTATTTTAGGCCGGCAACCGCTGCATCAGCACTGACCCCAAGTGAAAGTGCCGACATTTTTCTATTCGAGACTGACTCTCTCGACTCCAAGTGTCATTATCATTATTTCTATTATCGTTGCTGTATATCATTATTATCATCTATATTAACACTAATGATAGAAACAAGAATGGTGACAATAACAATAGTTATCTTATGTTTATGTTATTAATGGTTCTTACTACTAATATTATATTTATCATCACCGGTCGCATTATCATTATCGCGATCATTAACAAATTTTAGTATTCATTATAAATTATGACATCAAGGATAATAATAACAAGAGCAAGATACTTTGAGAGACATTGCTTGGAAGTGAAAAGAGCATAAGATTTAAGAGAGTTTCAGAGTTTAGAAACAGAAGTGAAGCAGCAGTTTGAGTCTTGCGTACAGGTTAGCTACAAGACTTTCAGGTTAGTGACATGGGAATAATATCGGTGAAAAATGAAGCCACTTTACGGCAGAGTAAAGGAAGGAAGTCTGAAATTGACAACTTAATTATCAATAAGCCGATAAACCTTTGTTTCCACTTTGTTTGGAGTGAAACAGCAAAGGAACCCTCGTCCATATCGAAGCAATATTCATTCCACGAACGGATTACAACTCACTGCTATTGGAAGGCCAGCTCTGAGCACCCACAAAGTGACACTTTCTTGGCTGCACATTTTTTTTTCCAGTTTCAGCAAGTACATTCTGCAGGAGAGGTCGGAAAGTGGCTGAAGAAAGAGGATGACTCTCAGGATTCTGTTCGTGTACTCTGGATGCAATAAAGGTGACAGTTTTTTTTTTCCTTGGCGGTTTTGGCACTGGTGACTAAAGCGACATGATTTTGGGAATAAACTATAAAAGTAGGATGAGAGGCGGAGAAAGAACAAATAACCAAATAACAAATAACGGATATGGTTAGACTGAAAATAACCAGAGAGAAAAAAAATTGATACTTAAGACAAATCACAGAACCCCGAAGAAAAAAAACTAATAACACCAAAAAGGGACAGATTTTGCCACGCCAGGAACAAATAAAAGGAGATCGGAGAGAAATTTGGACCGTATTGGTACTGAAATCGCCTACGCAGAGTATCTTGGAATGTGGGGGGCGGGGGGGGGGGGGAAAGGTGCAACGACTCATGGCATGAAGTGAAATATGTAAAAAATGCACTGTGGTCCAAGGAATCTGGGGGGGGGGGGAGCAGAAGTAGATAAAAAAGAAAAAGAAAAAAGGGCTGAAGTAGACAGACACAGAAACAAATGAAATCGAAATTTTGGTAATTCTCAATGCTTCAGGTGCATAAATAATGATGATTATGGCGATGATAGTGATGGTGATTGATGATGATGATGATGATGATGATGATGATGATGATGATGATGATGATAATGGTAACAATAACGACAGCAGCAACAACATTAATAATAATGATAATGGTAATAATAAATAACAATAATAAACATAATAAAGATAATAATGACTCGTTAAACACATACCTTCAATAAAGAAAGAAAATAATAACACATGTAAAAAAATATATATATCTAAAATTGCACAGTGCACATTCGCATCACTAGATTTCGCAAACCTGATTGTTGAGCTTCAGTCGGACTCGTTATTTGGAATCGTCACATAATCAGGAAAAAAATTCTGAATGATCCAAATCTACATATGGCCCGACTACATTCCATCACAAAGTCAATTATTACACTGACCGGTATGATTGATTTCTAATTGGAATGCGCAGAAAATAGGTAACAAAATGCCACATTACCCCCAGTCTGTTCGGGGGGGGGGGGGGGGGAGAGAGAGAGTGCTGTTTAATGTTTTGTTGCAGGTGCTTGCCTGAAAACGATTTTTTTTTTAAGAAATGTCTAGTTGATGAGTTTCTCTGTTGTTATGCGAGAATGACGTTATTTTTTTCATACACAAGCGCTCGGATACACGGACATACACATACACATACATATATACATGCATACACACACGCACACACACACACACACACACACACACACACACACACACACACACACACACACACACACAAACACACACACACACACACTCACTAACTCATATATACAAAGAACATCGTGCCTATCCTCATTTCAGACTAACCTTTGTCATTTCGAGATCTTTTCTGAAATTTAGATTCACTTCGCTGACCTGAATACGTAATATCCAAGTTCGCATTTAGAGTCGTAACTTCACCTCTCCCGGTGCTATAAACGACAGAGAACATAATTACGCAATAATAAACGACATCCGTTCAAGGCAATACGTAGAAGACACACTCGCAGAACAACCGCTAGCTTGTTGCAAAATCACTCTTTCGTCTTGCTAAACGGTTGTTTTGCAAGAAACTTTATGCCAAGTTTAGATATGCATTCAGATATATTGCTGAGCAAAGTTTTATTCTGCAGCCACGTCTCTCGGAATACAAACAAGACGGTGGAAAAAACGTCGGGGATTCTTGGCATCAGAGCATTTCCAAATTTTATTCTCCCTTTTTTGCGCCTCCCTATTCTCCCTATCCCCCCCCACCCCCACCCCTGGTAATTCCACAAAGCTCATTCAACCTACGCATAATTCTAATGCTCCCGCGTTCCATGCATGGAATATTCTGGAACATGTTAAAATAGATGAAAACATTTCAATTCGCACGGCACGAGTCTCGCTTGGGCATCAACAACCGCGCATGCAGGGGGGAGAGGGAGAAAGAGAGGGAGGGGGGGGGGGAAAGAGAGGGGGAGGGGGAGAAAGAGAGGGAGGAGAGGGAGAAAGAGAAAGGGGAGAGGGAAAAAGAGAGCGGGAGGGGGAGAGGGAAAAAGAGAGCGGGAGGGGGAGAAAGAGAGGGAGGAGAGGGAGAAAGAGAGAGGGGAGAGGGAGAAAGAGAGGGAGGAGAGGGAGAAAGAGAGAGGGGAGAAGGAGAAAGATAGGGTGAGGGGAGAAAGAGAGGGGGAGAGGGAGAAATCCAATCCCGTTTGATACTATATTTATAAGGGAGACTTTAGCGGATGATAACCTTTGCTTGCGGTGAAATATGCACGGAGGCTGACTTGAACGCGATTACATAAAGAACTTACAATCACAACACACGAACAACATGAGAAAAAAACAAAACAAAAACAAATGACATTAATCTAACCTAAATTAACCTATAATACCGATTACAAAACCAAAAAAAATCTACAAGAAAAGAGATAATCTTCTCCCGAATACGTACCCCTGGAGGTTGCAGCCCCGTCAGCCCCATCAACCCCATCAGCCCCGTCAACCCCATCAGCCCCAGCCCCGTCAGCCCCATCAGCCTCGTCAGCCCCGTCAGCCCCGTCACCCCATCAGCCCTGTCAGGCCCATCAGCCCCGTTAGCCCCGTTAGCCCCATCAGCCCCGTTAGCCCCATCAGCCCCGTTAGCCCCATCAGCCCTGTCAGTCCCATCAGCCCCGTTAGCCCTGTCAGGCCCATCAGCCCCATCAGCCCTGTCAGGCCCATCAGCCCCGTCACCCCCATCAGCCCCATCAGCCCTGTCAGGCCCATCAGCCCCGTCACCCCCATCAGCCCTGTCAGGCCCATCAGCCCCGTTAGCCCCGTCAGCCCCGTCAGGCCCATCAGCCCTGTCAGTCCCATCAGCCCCGTTAGCCCCATCAGCCCCGTCAGCCCCGTCAGACCTGTCAGCCCCACCTGCCCCATCAGCCCCGTCAGCCCCAGGACTCGATTTCGACTGCCTTGACAACTCCCGACGTGCGAATATTTACGATGTTTACGGCGGTCGGCGAAGAAAGTGTCGTCCTTTGCCGTCGCTCGATTTAGCTGACTTTATAGAACCGAGATTTTCATTCCGTCCCGATAGCGATCCTGGGAGAGCCCGGAGGGAAGGCGGTAAAGAAAGTGAGAGGGCGAGGGATAGAAAGAGAAAGAAAGAAAGAGAGACTGAGAGAGAGAGAGAGAGAGAGAGAGAGAGAGAGAGAGAGAGAGAGAGAGAGAGAGAGAGACAGAGAGAGAAAGAGAGAGAGAGAGAGAGAGAGAGAGAGAGAGAGAGAGAGAGAGAGAGAGAGAGAGAGAGAGAGAGAGAGAGAGAGAGAGAGAGAGAGAGAGAGAGACAGAGAGAGAGAGAGAGAGAGAGAGAGAGAGAGAGAGAGAGAGAGAGAGAGAGAGAGAGAGAGAGAGAGAGAGAGAGAGAGAGAGAGAGAGAGAGAGAGAGAGAGAGATACAGTGACAAGGTGAGAAGAAATGAAGTCAAGAACGGCTAATTGAGAGACAAAAAAAATGTAAGACGAATAGAGAGCGAAGAAGAAAAAAGAAATAGAACAAGATGAAATAACAAATACCCAGAAAAGGAGAAGAAATGAAGACAAGTGAAGACGCGAATGCGCAGCGTGCGAAAATGCCCCGAATCCCAGGCTGCTCGCCGACCAACCGGAAACGTGCCCGAGTTATCAAAGTTGTCCTTCGGTTAATAAAGGGGCATTGGCCCCGTTATCCGAAGGGGAAATACCCCCTGTGCCCAAGGCATTGTGATCCCAGGAAACAGATTTAATAAGGTAAATAATTTGCAGATTGGCCTCTCCGCTTGGTTTGATTCGATTTGTGTCTAATCAATCTACTAATTGTCAGGTTGACTGGGTGTTCATGAATCTCTTTAAAAAGACTCGTTCGAAGACTAAGTGGGACAATCAAGACGATAATGCATATGAATCAGATTAACAGAATACGAGATCGGATGAAAAAAAAAACAGTGATTAATAACAAGTACAAGTACGAAAAAGTTATGAAAATAAACGACTGAATAAAAATGTGAGTGAATTTTGAATAAAAAATGTGAGTCTATGCATAACGCACGGCATCGCCCAAGAACAAATCAATACATCTGAGATATCCTTAAGACACAATATTTCTTTTAAATTTGTCGAACGTTTGTTTGCGCTTCAAGCATGGGAGAGCGGAGGCATGGGAGAAGCACAGTGAAAAATATCACAGTAATACGAAAATTATATTTTCAATGGAGAGGCTGCCGATGGTGCAGGCGATAACTGTGAGAATAACAATGATGAGACCAACACAATTATACTAAAAGAAATAAAAATACATTCCTTATCAAAGCATCACCATTATAATCACTACTATCATCTTAATGTAACGCTGACTACCTGCGTGACTATTAGTACCAACAACAAACAGAACCGTATGAAACCCCACACCTCGCCCAGCCCACATGAAACCCGGAAGGAAGGAACCTACTATCTCTCCGCAACCCCCCCGACAGGAGACAGAGGGCGCACGAGAGGGCGAACCTCCGCAGAGCCGGGAACGGGGACGACCAAACACGCCCAAGTTTGTGGCGTGACGTGTGGGTGGGGTGGGGGGGTGGGGTGAAAGGGGCATGTGAGTTTGAGGGAGAGAGAGGGGGGTTGGGGGTTGGGTTTGCCTTCTGTTGGTGAATGTATGTGGGGGTATGTGAGGCTGAGGAAGGGGGGCGGGGGGGGAGGGAGGAGATTGCCTGCTGGAACGCCCTGAGATTTATCCGAATATCCCTCGCATCCTATCCGCTTTAGTGAGGACCGTATGCCGCTAAAAAGCTTGATCATAAAATATTTTCCCTCCCTTGCATTCGAGCGCCTTGCTCTTCCACCTCCAACAAGGTAAGGAAATTTGCCTCCAAACGGCGTGCAGCCATGGAGGGTCTATCGCGACGCATGCGGACTTGATGAGGGAGACACGCACGTGGGAAAATGTGATGAGAGAAAGGGTTGGGGCACATGGGGAGATAGATAGGGGAACAGACAGACAGAGGGAAAGAGTGAAAGAGTGAGAGAGAGAGAGAGAGAGAGAGAGGGAGAGAGAGAGAGAGAGAGAGAGAGAGAGAGAGAGAGAGAGAGAGAGAGAGAGAGAGAGAGAGAGAGAGAGAGAGAGAGAGAGAAAGAGGACAGAGAGCAGAAAGAGAGAGAGACAGACAAAGAAAGGGAGGGAGACAAGTAGAGGCAGCGAGAGAGACAGACAGAGACAACAAGAGAGACAGGTAGAGACAGCGAGAGAGAAAGAAAAACATACACACCAGCACAATATATACGGAAGTAGCCACAGACAGTATACCTCGTTACGTCTGACCTGCAAAAGAAGGCACTTACTCCCCAAAGCTCTTCAACACGCGGTGAATGAAGGCAAAACTCAGATCCAAGAGGCGATGGAAAGTAAAGAGTTTTAAACCTGTCTGACAAACACTCATTAATCTTCACTCAAACGCTTCCGGGTAAAGAGATCAGATTGGAGAAGAAGAAGAAGAAAGAAGAAGAAGACGAAGACGAATAATAATAA